GTCTGTCCTGATGTAGGTAGTGTTGTGCTTCGCCTGCCGAGCCCATTGGCTTCGTCTGAGAGGCATAGGTGGCAATGAATCAAATCATTGCATCATCTACAGTACCTAGGTAGTACTAGTAGTACCTTGGGTAGTGCTATGGATGGTGATAGTCGCACACTACACTACGAAGCTATGCTCGTCTAGGTAGAAACTAGGTACACCGACTGTCAGGCCAGGGACAACGCCCAGCTGTGTTACTATTTTCGGCTAGGTAGGTTGCTTGGTTGCAGGCTGGTTGGGTCGGGCTTCCGGGTACACAGAGCCTACGAGGTAGTATATAATAAGTTAGATAGTAGGTAGGTAGTATACCTACCTCTCCGTACCCTAGGCAGTACATATAGTAGGTACATAGGTACTTAGGTAAGTTACGACCGTTGCAACCCAGCTAAGCTACTAGTAGATTCCGGTTAGGTCTGATTGGTCGGAATTTGTGCAACCTGTGTTCCACATATTTTTCTAACAAGCGACTGAAGCCGATCGATGCTCGTTGTTTCCCTTGTTTTTATACATACATTACTACACTACACTCTACCCTTCCTCCACCCCTGAAGGCGTGACCGTAGGCCGGAGCCGCCATAACAACGGTCCAACTAAAAATCCAGCCTCCCAAATGTCACAGTTAATTGAGCTATCAACAACTTAATGAAGTGGCTCACGTGAACTTTACACTTAACGTGAATCTAAAAAGTGCCCCAGTCCGTGCCGAAAGGCCGAAAGCAATACAAGCTATGAATACCTCAGCTCAGGCCATCACACAGCCTCCAGAGCCTCATTCCTGAAAGCAAAAGCTCTGTGTTGTACTCAGCCCATTCGAAAGCCTTTTTTGTTATTAAACTATCTCCCGCAACAGCCGTCAGGAGTGGCCAATCAGCCTTACCCAACGATGACAATAGAGCAACAAAAAAAGCCATTTCGAGGCAATAGTGTCGTCTACGGTACTCCTATTGACGCCGAGGTATTCTGGAGTATAGGTCATGGTAACATCGCGCCTTGGTGAGCGGAGAAGGAGAAATTTCTTTCGCTAGACGGTTATGACAGGTCAAACAAACTATCTATACCTGAGACTCCTCCTAGATCCGGCATTCCCAAATCGGTTCTCCGTCCGCGTCTTCCCCAAAAAACCAGCCAGCACAGATACCATTAATGCCTCTGGTACCGGTAATGATGGAGACGATATTTCCAAAATACGACCTCCAACTGTTTTAGAAGTAAGCGATGATATTTATATCAAATATCATCATGATAACGACGGAGTTACTAACCTAGATGCCACGAGGAGCTTGCCTCCAACGTCCGGTAAACCCATAGAGAGAACTCTAGGAGTAGCTGATGCTTTTTAGACGTTCCGAGTATCAAGAAACGGAAGGAACTCCGGAAACAATTACCCCGAGATATTATATGACGAGCGTACCAAGGAGGCCGATACGTACGGCAGATTAGATGAGGGTTCACCCATCTTTATGACCAAAACAACTGCTCCTAATGCATTGGCTCCGCTAAAATACGTCTATCTATCGCGATGCAGGCCACCGTATGGCTCGATACGAACATCGAGCCTACGATTAAACCTATATTCCTTATCACGACCCTGTGTGTTCTAGTATTCTACTCGCCAAAGTGGACCGTTGGTTTCCTTTGGAGGCGAAGCTGCCCGCTCCCGCCTATATTAGTCTTTGGAGAAGATTGGGCTGTGTTCCGGAAGGCACACTCCAGGTCGCTACTACTCCAATCCGCGATCGGCACGGATCAGATATCACTAATATCGGGATTGAACTCATTCGGGAAGGCCAGAAGGCGCTCCATAATGTCCTCCCACTACCTCGACCTAGAGGGGGGGTGAGCTGGGCTATATTATAACTTTACCACGAACGCTGGAGACGATCTATCTCTCGTTTCGAGCATCACACTGCGCGAGTCACAGGGAACCTTTATATAATTGATGGCGTGTCAAAGAAGAGACGCGGGCATTCCTATTACTTGCGCCCCTACGATGAATTTATAATTATTATAGTTATTCTTCGGGTACCCAGATCTCCTATCGACTTTGGCCGGTGCTCCAACGAGTAAAACCACCACCGGGTCTGATGGGTTTAGATTGCTTACTAAGGGGTGCATTCTTTCCCCGCCACAGGTGCGCCGAGTACGGATTGACCTTCGATAACTCAGGTAGCAACGAGGCAGCAGTCTTAACCGTCACATATCTTGCTCCTCAGTTGTGGGCGAAATCTTCACATGCAAATCGATGTCCCGGTTGACCCGGGAGTGTCAAAACGACTAGAAGAAACCTCGCCACGTGATCATGGTCTAAGTCTTATTACATTATACGCAATAGTAACTAACACTGGTCTTGAACCATAATGACCTCAGACGATCCGAGGGTGATGCCTGAGCCAAAAGCATCAACCCGCACATACGATGCGGCTGATGCCAACCGAGCAGAAGTTTCGAAGCCAGTTCTCGCGACCTCGGTGGCGAAGCTCAAGGCATACTCGGAGGTGCCTGAGTACACCCTCCATGAGGTGTACTCGGTGGCGCCGTTCCAGCTCATGTAGACCTCAGTTTGATTGCTAGTCTGGCTCTTACAGGCAACTGCCTTGGGCAATGTGTTCGGTCGGCCGACCCAAGGCAGCCGATACGCACGGTAGGAGAAGATATTGTTATTGCCGGGTCCAAACTTGACCGACATGGCGACGGTGCCGTTGGGGTAGTACTCCTTGATCCTGGGCGTTGAGCCATAACCCATGATGGAATGGCCGTTGCTGAGAACCTGAAGGTTACCCTGCGAGGCGGCGTAGACGGCGTCGTTGGGATCGGTGAGCTCCCGTATCAGAGTCGCGGTCCATTCCTTGGTGTCGAGGCGCAGGAAGAGACCCGTGGTCTGGTTGACGCCGTAGTCCTCGGAGTTGTTGTCGTTATTGAACATGCTGATGTCAATGGTGTTGCCGTCAATATGGCGCACACGGCTGTCGTGCTGATAGCAAAAGCTTATGCCTGAGCCAAGGGTGAAGTCACCGCCGGTGCGTCCCTAAGGATGGATTGTGAGTATAGGAGGGGAGATGGGGAGTGGGGAATTCTTACATTCAAGGTCCAGGCGACTGATCCGTCGGGGTTGATCAAGAAGAGGGAGCAATAATGTCTCGAAGAGATGAGATATGAGCCATCGTGCAGCTTATCGACGGTGTTAATGTGGAAGGGCCCCCAGGGGAAAGTCTGATTGGCGCCAAAGTCAGCCAGAGGGTAGTAAGGCTCAGCGTCGGCGAGAGGGATCTGGTCTTGATGAGCTAGAGCATTCCATTGGAAGAGAACAGTGTCGGTCTTGATGTCAATCTCGTAGAAGACGCAGTCAGCTAGCCAGCCATCTTCCTTGCCTCCGACGGAGGTCAGGTTGGCCTGAGTGACGTTGTATGAGGTGGTCAACATGGTGCCCTCTGGGGTGATGCGGTCCTCATGCAAATCGAGCCACGACACAAAGCCGCTAGAGTCGACGTCGGTGTCGGGCAAGGTTTGGAGATCCGATCCGTTGACAGTGACGTTGTAGATGCTCTCGTATGCACCGTCGAGGACCTGGATAAGACCGTATCCCCAACCATAAGGCTCAGACCATGTCACACCGTTGAAGAAAGTAATGACTGGCTCGCCATCGAGCACTTGGGCTCTGAAACCGGCAAAGTCACCGTAGCCTCCTTGCCAAACCAAGTCGCCATCGTCAGTCATGATGAAGAGACTGTAGTTGTGGGCATAGTTGCCATTTTGGTCAAAGAAGAGGTATCCGGGAGAGGTTGGGCCGTACTTCGTGATGTCTAGAACCGGCGGCTGCAGGCTCGGCTCTGACTTGAACGTTTGCCATGACCAGTATGTGCCATTATCTCCCAGCACGGGGAGTGCTCCGAAGAGCGAGGCCAAGGATGCAACTGTGAGCAGAGACGAGCGCATTTTCGAAGACACAGAACCGCGGATGCGACACTCAAGGGACGGGCTAGCAATGCAAGGCCAAAGCAGGAACAACCTTCCTTTATCTACTAGTTGACGAGAGCGAAGGAAACACCCGGCGTCGGGGGCGCGTTCGCCAGTCTATTCCCAGCGAGGCCCATGATCGACCAGTTTCCGACATGGTCAAGAGTGCTAACCAAACCTTGCCCGGTCGAGCCCGGAGAGGAGAGGCACGCTTCACGCCGAACGTCCAATGAGCCAGCTCCGTCGCAAATGAAAACCGGACCAAAAATTATCTGATCAGATGTACTGATGGATCAGATAAGATAAAAATTTGATCTGTGTGGGTCGCGAAGCAACATGGCCCGGCACTCACCCTCCACATTCCTTCAGTACCTAGGCCTCGTAAGGTAATAATCCCCGTGAGCAGGGTCGTGTCTACGCTACGGTTGCATGCATCATGAGACAGGCACAAAGGAGATAAGTTGACGAGATGAGGTCTAAAGGCCATTTTCAACAAGTATACGCGTGTAAGAGTTTCATTGGCGGATAATTAGGGGCATGGAGAGGTTGTTTTCAGAGTATATATCGTGTTAGGCCCCATGAAACAGATGGCTTGCCGAGTTATGAACCCCCAGGTTGAACATACGGGAAGACGTCATACCCTAGCTAGCGCAGTCCTCGTCGACTTTAAAACAAGTACTCCAGGGGTGGATGAGATGTTTTCTGGATGTTCTACCGCCGACCGTCATCGGAGAGGTGATATTGCGGTATCCACGTCGTGGGGGTGGTGGTTCGCGGCTCGGTGCCCGGCAGTCTTCGGCATCGGTCGGCAGTCGGTCCACGCGGGAAGCTCCACATTCGACAGTAGTCCAGTTGTAGAGACTCACCAACACATGAAAAGCACTCCGTAAGTTGAGCGACGATGGTTAATATTTGTGAAGATAGAGTAAAGCCTCACAGCCCGGTGGTCGGGCCCTGGGATAATGCAAAGGAAATTAAAAATAAAATAAGCAATTTGCAAAAAAAACATACAACACCGGGAATTCCCCAGTGGTCACCCACCTGAGTACTAATCCGGCGCTTCCTAGTTTATCTATGGCAGAGCGGACGGGATGCCGAGTTCTCTAGAAGCTATGGTCGTATGTGCTCGAACTACCGTGATGCGCGGCCTATATAGCTGTCGTTTGTGATAGCCATAAGGACCGTCGCAGATAGAAATTCGTTGCCAAGAGTTTAAAGACCAAAATACTAGAGTAGAGTCATATAAGTGAAATTAGAATTACGTAGGGAAAACAACGTATACGTAGGTATTCTCCGTCTATTTTTTTTCACGAGGCATCATGTCTTCGTATCGTCTCGCATAGGCTTTAAGGTCCGAGGAATTCGCCGAGTACAATTTCAAAAATAGAAAGGCGGGGGAATAGCAACCTCATAGATACATAGAATCGTAGCAAAAATATGAAATGTGTAGAGAAGATATGAGAGAAAATACAGAAAGTTTTAATTAGAATCCCCTAATATTCAGATAAAATGAGCCTTGGTCAATCAGTTCCCCTTTTTTATTACAAGAACGCCATGCGGAAGTGTAGAAAACGGCCTATCTCTGCATGCGTGGGATGTCGAGACCCCCTTTTGGAGCCGAAAGCGCGTGGGCTCCTCCAAACAATCAGTAAAAGGAAGATGATTAAAAATAGGTTAGAGAGAGCAGGAAAAAAGACCATCCCGCTAAACTATGCCATAATTACATCAGTGCCCGGTTCACCACGCAAAGGCTTCCTCAACTAAATCTATACTAAAGCCATCTTTCACGCAGCTGACAACCTGCTTCCTCGCCTCATCCGCCATCTGAGCAGGTCCGCAAACCAGAACCGTAGTCTGTTGTCCGGCTTCAAGAGACGACCGTATAACGGATGCGATATGCATCCTCCCTACGGTTACCGCGGCGTCTATCGCTGGGGCAGAACTTCCCATCTCTCGCTTTTCATCTTTAGGCAACTCCGACTTTTGCGTGAGGCCTTCCATAGCACCTGTGCACCAGAACGAAGTCTCCACTCCTTGCGCATTCGCCAGGAAGTTTTTTCTCACGTGGTTGATAAACGTTATTTCCTTGGCAGACCAGGCAAGTATGAATCGCCTAGCTTTCCTCATTATGCCATGGGATTTTCCCGCGGGTTCGCCCTCCGGAGATACCGCGTTGGCGTATTCTTGGACGAAGCTGAGGGCGTATGTGATTCCCAGACCGCCGGCAACACATAACACCGTCTCGGCCGCTAAAAGCGGTTGATGGGTAGCGTTATGGCCTGCGTAATAGCCCTCCGTATAGACGGATATCTCTGCCCTCGAGCTCGTGGATGGTGATGAAAGGTGGCGTTGGAGGGTAGCGGTCATCCCCGAGTGCGCCCTGATTAGGAGCCGGAAGGAGACGCCGTTATACTTTTGAGACTCGTGAGGCACTGTCTCTTGGTGGTGTGGTGCTGCCGCCAACTTGACTTGGTCGTTAGAATCCGTCGCTGATGGCGCAGTGCCCAGTTCCTTCGCTAGAGAATAGATCTTGTTGTCCTTGGACGATGCTGAAATAGAGGAAGAGACGAAATTCGACGGCGCTTGATGTGTCTCCCACGCCGCAATGCTGAACGGGTGGCTCTCCCACAACCTGCCTAGTCCGGGGAAGTAAAGGAAGGTGTGCTGTCCTGGACCGATTCCTCGTGTCGTGCGTGGAAAGACCGTGACCTGCAGAATATTACACCCCGGAATCGCCTCAGCTACGGCCTTCGCATCGCCGGGACGATTGTAATAGACGACCCGAGCCAACCTAGCAAGCCGATCGGCCGCCCAAAAGGCAAAGGAGATGTAAAGCCAAACCTGGTAGCCGTACTGCAGGAACAGGAACATGTTAGCTAAACTCGGGTGCGTGGATTTCGCCTCAGCCTAAACTAAGAGTTTTCATTGTATTCCGTGGAAGAAAAAGTATAAAAAAGTATAATAGGGCTTGAAAGAGAAATTCTAACTTCTAATACGCACCTTAAACCCGAAATGGGGAACCAGATGGTACCAACACGCAATTAAAGCGAGGACGACAAGGACGATGTGGACTGCGAGGAACAACTCGTAAAACGTTATGCGAATGGGGAGGATGGCAAAAGCGGTTGCCAGACCCAAAGCTACCGTCCCCAGGATTCCCCACCACTACAGTAAATTATCAGCAAGGCCCATAGTGAATTAGTTTGATTCGGCCGAGTTGTGCCACCAAAGTGCTTTGCGCCCCCGCCCCCCCAATATTTATAAAACGCGTGGGTTGGGAAGACATACCATGAAAGGCTCTGCCGCTTTGGCCGAGTAAGATGGTGCCCCTTCATATCCCGGATCGACATAGGCCACAGTATACGCGATAGAATGCGCGATGGCCTGCACTGTAGCCACTCTTGCCGTCCAGCGGTGCCAAGCGAGGAAAGTGTTCTGGCTCCATCCGGTAACGGCGATGAGGATGTTGTTTCTTCCGGCAAACAAGATCGCTATGCTGATGTTGACGAGACTGAGCATGCCCGTCCTATTTCCCACATACTCGCAGAGTTCGAATTGTTGCGAAGGGAAGTATATGTTAGGCTGGAAACTCCGGAATGAGATAGAGGAGAATATCACGTTGAGAATAACGTAGATGCTGATGGAAACTCCAAGTACCCTACCAGGGACATACCCCGAATTCGCAGGGAGCGGTTCCAGGTGCCGAGATCTAAATAGAGCAGGGAGAGTAACGTGTTGCTGAAGACGTAATCCCAAAGTCGACTTTCGCCATCGTCGATAAATATCAGGGAATATGCCCACGAGCTGGACCTTCAGTCCCCAAGCAAGACAGGCGCCAATTACGATAAGGTAGAGGATCAGCCTTTAGGCGATGTTTTACTCGTGAGCTTGATTCTCAGACAGTAATACTTATGAGCATATAAATATGAAAGGAGGAGAACTCACGAATACTTGGTGTGAATGTATTCTGATCTGGCGAATTCTTCTAGCGTGCCGCAAGTTGCATGGTAGGTCTCATGATTCACGAGGCTAGTAACATTGAGCCACATCGCGTCCTGCGGGAGCTCGACGGTGGGAGCTGTATCGGGTAGACAGTCGTGAAAGGTCGGTTCCGAAGCGCCAGCAACGGCGTGAACACTGAAGCATTTCGCCTGTTTTTCCACCGAATATCCGTAGGCCCCACAGGCCTGCTGTATACAATACGCCATCGTCTGAAGCCAGGGCATGTTAGAAGTCCGGCACTCTTCACTCGTCGTCCCCATCATTTCCATGTCCATGTCCATGTCCATACTCATACTCATTCCCGACATGTTGTGGTGTTCGGGAAAGGTCGTGCAACCCAAGTATAGGGAAGAGAGAGAGTCGTGGCATGCCAGGCTACACGCATCCTCGTATAAAGGAATCCCGAAGCCAATGATACCGTTCTTCGCTCCGCTGACATCTCGGGCCTGCAAGAAAACAGCGGCAGCGAAGAGCGCAAATGTTGAGAACATGGTTTGTGAGCCGTAAGCTACCTAGGTACTTGGACGGGAGGAACGAAGATAGGTGTTTCCCACTATTAGAATTATATCAAGACCGCAAGTCCCTATCAACTTGCACCTGGGTCTAGTATTAGGGCTCGAAGGAGTAATTAGGAGAGAGCGATGTGAGGGCAGGGTGCATGCGAAAGGATCGAATATATCCCATGGCCGATCAATTATATTCGCGATGAACGTCAGCCGAAGAACCTGCTCGGGTCTAGACAGGTTGGCCTTTACTCCACACATTCACACCCCGGCGCACCCACCATCTTACAAGATATTCATCGAGAAGCTCAAGGGCATAGAGCCCCTGCCAAGTAGATCATATATCGGGCGTGTATGAATAGATGAGCCGGGATAAGTCGGTCCGGCTGGCGATGTCTATTTGCTATGAAGACAATAGCTACCAGAAATTCCTCGAAATACGGAGGAAGCCAGATGACTCAGCCAAAGCCCTCGAACACAAACCTCACACCAACGTAGCCGACTACCGATGCAGACAACACGCCGCGAGCCAGCGTCTATTTTAAAACGACATGACCTCGCCACTCAGCTATGCTACGCGACTTATCCCAATAGATCGGGGACGTGGTATCCGCCCGTGGTCGGTCCGAAGAGGGGATGAGAGGGATTGAGCGAGTTTTCCATGGCCGGGTGTATACGCGGCTAAAAGAAATCTAAATGTTCGCCAACATTTTCCAGAACCCACGCCGCGCCGCAGCCAATCACCGTCGAGCGAATGGGGGAGGGGACCACGCCGGCGCCGTTAGATCCGGACGTGGCAGCAATGTCGCTCGACTCGCTTAAACAGGATTCGGGAATTGGGACCTGCGCACGGAGGCTGTCCCCCGTATGCCTTCTACGTAGCGGTACCTATCTGGGAAGCGGCAGCCTCAGGTCTGGGCCATGCGAAACGCCATGGTCCTTATAACGTACTGTCAGCAGCCAGTATCATCAATTATTCTGCCGTCGTGTTATAAAATGGTAATTTTGACCTCGAATAGGGCGTTTTAATGACTAAATACCAGACCGTCTCTAGCAGAGGATTCCAGAGCCCGGACTGCCTTATTACAAATAATAAAAGTCTGTGATTAGTGACCCAAGGCCTCATCTAAATTTCGAAGATTATGGACTCGCGGCGGGGAATGGCGGGCTTCCAATGGAAGTGTACATAACAGTCTAAAACTCAAAGCCACAACCCATAATAAATAAGTCTAAGAGGGGGCACGGAAGGGCCAGTAATCACACAGTCCAGCGATCTTAGCTGAAGTCGGAATCGCTTAATCTTGGGTAGACTTTGAAAATTAGGGGTTAGCGGTTATAGTTACCAAGTTCACGTGTGATAACAAGTCGACGCAGTCCGCCAATAAGAGCATCTCAAGCGGCGGGCTCGACTGACGGCTAGGCCTACTTCTTAATATGTGGCCGTTGGAAATAACAGGAACGAGTATTAGGCCTATTGGCCTTCATCTACAGCCAAGGCAATTACGACGAGATAATGTGGTAGGAGGGCATTCGTAATTATGGTTTTCTTTCCGACTAGATTTATATCGCCACTCTGAAGTTCATATTTCAGCCAAACGAACGCAAGGGGTCATAG